TGGCAAGTTCCTTGAGAAGCTTGGGTGGAATCTCGTCTGGTCCTGGCGACTTCGATTCGTTCAATGCTTCTTATTCTTTTCGGACAATGCCTTCTGAGAAGAGTATATCACTGACGCTTGGGGTCGGCAGTTCTTCTGTGGAGGGAGGAAGGAACCTTGCCTCGTTTGTGTAGACTGATTGGAAGAACTGTAAAAAATACGCAGCTTTATCCCTACTATTAGCAATCTCATCGCCATCAATAGTGCTTATTACTGGGATTTTATGCCTGTTCCTTGTTCTTCGTCTGAGATAACTGTAGAGTAATTTTGGTTTCTGCGTTGCTTTTTGTGGCAAGTTCTTCTCGAATTCCCGCCGCGTCTTTGTGATCAGGTTCCCCAGTTTGTTCCTCTGTTTCTTATAGGTGTTGAAATATTCATCTTGCCCAGTGACGCAGTATTTTTTCCACAATTTGTGCTTCCTGTTGATTTCTTTCTTAATGTTCCTATTTAGCCACCCAGGGCGTTTATTCAGTCTAACACTAGTCAATGGGCAGTGGTTGTTAATAAGCTGCAGAAGGACATTCTTGAACAGCTCCCAGCCATCGTTAGCATTGTTCGTAAACAATGAGCCCCAGTCGAGACCGGATAAGTCTGTCCTCATCTGACTGAAGTCGCCTCTCCAAGCATTCCGTCTTTTTTGGTCTGGAGAATGCGAAATGGAGAAAAGCGAATACTCCCACATAAGCACTACGTGATCACTTCGGCCAACAGGCGGCATGGATATGATCTCATCTATGGTGTCTAGCGTTTTCGTAAAAACCAGATCAAGGCAGTTTGCCCTTTCTCCTTCACGTGTTCTCGTTGGGAACATTAGCTGTTTTGTATGGGACGCCTTTACTGTTTTGTTCAGCAGACGGTAATCGAATGACCTGACGCTTGGACCTGACGCTTGGAGGGTGTTCCAGTTTGTTCCTGGAGCGTTGAAGTCGCTCATGATCATGATGTTAGGTTGAGTGGAAAATTTCTCCAGCTGCTCCAATAGTTGAGTGTCTGCGATTTGCTTTGTCCTAGGTGGTCGGTAGGCAGTGAGGACATTGAGACACGGGTAACCGGTAGCCTTGATGGTCAACCAAATAGCTTCCATGCCGCACGAAAACTTGGTGGTATTTTCCGACAGTTCCAGGCCTTCATTTACATACACAACTATACCACCACCCTGACGATTCTCCCTGTCTCTCCGATACGTTTGGTATCCAGGCAAGGCTACTTCGCTATCACCAGTATTTCCGGACAGCCAGATCACGGTTACTGCTAAAACATCTGGAGACACCTCGGAAAGGCAAAGTTTTAGCTCGTCTAGTTTCTATATGAGGCTTTGGGCATTCGTGTACAAGCACGTCAGCTTCGCACCAGCTGAATTACCCGTTGTATTTGTTACTGTCTCGAGCACTGCTCCTTTATCTCGAACGCCATGTTCTCTGGGCTGATGGGTTCCATTTATATGCGTTGCTTCAGTCAGATCACTGGACATTGCGCGCTTACTTGTGTTGCCGCCTTGAGCAGGTGGTTCAACGAAGGTATCTATGTTAGCTGCGTAGCTGCCGTCGTTCTTAGTACTACAGGCTGGTTCCACTGAAACGGCATATATTTCCGAACTACCTTCCCCTTGAAGATAGCCAGATTCAGTTCATCACCTTCAGTCTTGATGTTAATTCCAAGACAAGTTCCCGGTGTTTCAGCCGTTCCGCTGGTGAATAGTCTACAGCTAAGTCAACCGTGGCTTGGCGTCAGAACGGTGAGACTCGAAAATTGAATCAGACTCCGACCCAAAAGATAGGTAGTACGGTTCCGTTTAGGGGTACGACGCCTTATCTTAGATCTAACAAGTCTGTTCAGCCCAGCACGTCTACAAACCCCGCAGCTCCAATTATATCCCCGAATAATTATCTGTCCTGCGTACCGGTTACTTATCAAAGCCCTACTATATATCCAGCAAATGATTCATACATGAATTGCCCTAAATCATTTATGCCCCAACCTACTTCAGGCTTCCCACCACTTAAGGCCAATTGCTCTCAGGTACGTCAACCTATCTCCTTTGACTTCCAACCTAGACCTGGTTTCCCACCATTTCATCCTTTAGCGGCCTACCCTCACCCACTAGCCCCTTCTTTACTTCTAGCCTCCCTCCTCCTCCCCTTCCTCCACTATTTAACTACCAACAAGTCTATCCATGTTCTAACTCCCCTAGCATTCCAATGTTTGAAAACTATATCCCCACATCCTTTAGGTCTCATACTCAGCCTTCTCTTGCTGACTCCCCGTACGTCAATAACTCTAGATTAACTGGTACTTATTTTCCAAGTGTCATTAATTCACAGCTTACACATCCACCTCCAAATTTTTTTTTAAATACCGTCGAAAATAGCATTGCCGTTCAAAACACATTAGATATTATATTATTGAATGCCAGGTCAGTTATATACAAGATGGCCCAAATCAGAGCCATTGCTCTGGAAATGACGCCTGATATTATATGTGTTACAGAATCGTGGACCCATTCTCTAATTCCTGTCTCTGCCCTTCTCATAGATGACTTCGATTTTTACCGCCAAGACCGCACGACTAGGCGTGGGGGTGGTTGTCTTCTTTATCTTAAATCCTACCTAAAGCACTCTGCCTATCACTTGGATGTTTCCTCATTCACGGGAAACTTCTGCTTT